GGGAAGAGGGGGGAAAAGGGGGGGGGGGGGGGGGGGGGGGGGGGGGGCAGGAGATTCCGTTGGAAAGAGGGGTAGCGGAAAAACACGGTTGGTTTTGTGCCCGTTTATGGCAGTTGATCGTTGACAAGGAGACAAGGAACGCTCTGGTCGTTACGGACTGGTCGCCGTTCTTTCGGTTCGGTCCTGGCGGATCATAGATGCATCCAAACCTATTTAACGGCGGTACTCACGTACAGATTGGCCTTATTTCGTGTGGTACAGACTACTTTCAGGCTGCTTGCGGCTTGTTCGGGAGGGGGCTTGTCGCTTGTCGCGGTGGCGCATGAGCTGAGGTGCACGACTACATCATACTCAGAGTGTTGTGTACGGATTTGGTCCACGGGAATTGGACACTGTCAGCAACGCGCCGGTAAGATGACCACAAAAAAAACTGCTATCCCCACCTCGTCCATGACATGATCACGATTCCCGATGCCGTCTCCCACCGACCCGGGTGCAAAAGGCCTCTTGTCAGCCGCCGAAAACGCCCTCGACGTCGAACCCCGACCGCCCCTCTTGCCTTTCGCCGATTGCGACCAAGCCATTGCCGCCGCCAGCCCGGGCTTCGACCCGGACAGGGAAAGCGCGGCTGCCGCGCTGCTGATGGCGTCGACCCCCAGGGACTCCTCTCGAAACGGCGGTGCCCCCTCGCCGATGTGGCGGTTACACTTGGGCCCCGGCTTCTGCTTGAGGCTGAAGACGCACACGTGGTCCTTGCGGGCGCAGTAGTGGCACGCCCCTCCTTCGATTCTGCCGCTGCAGCGCACCTGTTCGCGTTTGGGGGATTTGCGGGAACGTCGTGGGGGGACCCTATTTAGTTTGATTGCTTAGAAGTAGCTGCCTACCTTTTGAGACAGAGCGCCGTTCCTACTGTATTGCTTGCACAGACAACGCCAACGCCAGGGCAATCTTTCACGGGCTGCACACGTTGAGTCTTGCTGCGGAAGACACCCTTCCCTCCTTCAAGGGGGTGGGTCTCTGGACGGACAACGTAAACGCCGCAGCCGTATCAGCGCCCCCCCCCCCGCCAAGAACAAAACCGAGTTGTGCAGTGACAAAGGTATGCCCTCCTGCCATGGGCACCCCGCCATACAGCATCAGATGACACTGTCAATGTATCTAGGTCGCACTGGAAGGCGGATAGCGGAACATATCCTAAGCGGGTGAAAGAAGGGCGTGACTAAATTACTTGTCGTATTGTGATGGTCGGTCGGTCGGTGCATACATGCAGCATCCCGCTGTATGGCTAGCGCTCCTGCTGGCATACTTGCTGCGTTCTGCCGGAAGGGGCGTCCGTATCAGACGAAGCGTGTGAGAGACCAACGAAGCGGGTACGTGCACAAACACAGCAGCTACGTCTCTCGTGCAATTTTCTCACCTTTTTCTCGACGCAGTAGTCGCAGTTGCGGCGAGTGTTCGATCTAGGGTCCATCTTAGCCCCAAAGGCCCTTCTTCCGGGTCACAAAAGCGCTAGTTATAGCTGGAGAGAAATCCAATCACGCGAGAAAGGCTCCCTGCACGTAGCCGGCGAAAACGACCGTGCCCACTGCTCGAGGTGCGGGACGATACCCTGCTGCTGTAGTCGCTCTAGTCAGGAAGTACCCGGGGGGGCTAGCTTTGTCCCTGGTCGTTGTCCCTGTGGTCATACAACGTTCGGTAGAAGGGGAGGAGCGACGGGGATAGCGCGCTTGTCAAAGGATGTGATATGGTGAGTGCGCGTGCTCAGGGATTCCTGCCGTTACTGCTGCCAACGTGAAGCATTTTCCACAGGTCACTCACTCACTTCCTCTTCCGTGGGCAGGCTCTCAACATTCAACATGGGCGACGAGTACGGGTGGGAGAGCTGCCATGGTATGCTTAAAGACTGCTGCTGTACAAGTACGGGACAAATTGTTCTGTTTGGTTCGTTCAGGTTCGCTGGGCTTCCTAGTCGAAAACACGAAAACAATATAGCGGTGTGAGCTGTTCGAGCTTGAAACGCAACAGATGTACACTTGTATGTTCATCGTGCATAACCCGTGATGACAGCAGTGTTGTTCGTTCATGATCCCAGTCAGATCACTGGTATGCTATGTACATTACAATACTTCGAAGAAGAATCTTCCATGTGGTTCTTTTTGCTCATTGTGCCTCTTTGAACTGTTTTGTGTGTTTTTATTATTCCTTAACTATTTACAGAGGGTCGGTTGATGTGTACCGCTACACACGTTATATTGCATTCGAGCGAAAGACCAGAGCGAGCGACAGGACGGATTTTGGCGCATGCGTACAATAAAGAAAACGTAGGGAGGGCTCGTCTTGGCTCTCGCATGCAACTGCTGTATTAAGCCGAGTACGTATGCTGTACAGCAGTAGTACAGAACAAACGAGTACTGCCCGTACCAGGACCATGGCGGTCTCTACGTCCTATGATTGCACAAGTCCCATGACGAAAAACAAAGATAAGCCAGAACAAAAAAACACCAGGAGAGAAATTTCCAGGTGGTGTCTGTGTCCGCCTACAGCAGTATTCTCCGAGAGGGGAGGGACAGCGAAACAACAGCAGTACTCCACACCACGTCCTGCCCTCGTACGCACAGGCTGGATCCTCCAAAACGCTGGGTGTATCCACCATTCGCTCCTCACGTGAGGTCTGTCTGTGCGTGCTACTGGCGCAGCCCTCGTCTGCAAAATACGTATTTTCTCGCTCTTTCGACTCGGACCGCGGCGCTTGCTGTGTAGGCCAGCAGCGATCGTGCATGCCAATGCAGCCCAGGGCGAGCCCGGCGTATCGGGGTATACCTACTCCCAAACCATGATTCGCTGCGGTGTGCTTCTACGAGTTGTCAAGGCACTCTGCGCGGCCGGGGTGCTTGTGCTGGCTATTGTAGCTTGTGTGCTTGGTGTGTCTTGGCGTGAGGGAGCAGCAGGTGTGTGTGCTGGCTTTGCCATCTGGTGTGGGACCACACCATGATATTAACTTGAATCGCACAACAACGCACACATCACACACCGCCCCCTGCCGCTGGTAATTGTCGCATGCCTCCTGCCACCCTTTTCCTGTTGCCCCTTGTGCGAGAAGCGAAAGCACACGCCCATACACATACAGCCTATTGGCCGCACGACAACAGCAGTAGCACCGCCATCATCATCCATCCTCGCCTTCGTTTCCTGCTCTCTCCTGACAACCCCCTTTCCGCCAGGCCATGCGACTGACTCACTCACCGAACGCACCCGCCGGGGAAGAGAGATACGTCTTATCTTCGCGTCTTGACGTAGACAAACACGGCAGAGAAGACAGGGTTCGGGCAGGCCTGCGCGCCGAACGTCAGCTGCTGAGAGCGACGGGTGCGTCTGATGTGAGAGGACGGCAGTGATGCAGAGAGAGGCGGATAAACTATGTCGGGCTTTGATTGGCCAAGGGATGAGTCCGTGTATCAAAATCTGGTACAGCGTCATGGCGGTGGAATACTGTCTGTGGGGCCTCTCCGTTGGCCCTTGTTGCATGCGAGCGATGGGTCGATTCCGCTGGTGTGTTGCTGTCGCTATCTTCGTGCCTGCTTGGACGCTTGCGACTGCCAACACAAAGATGAACCAATTTTTCGCTTTTCTTGTGCTCTGCCTGGCGGCAAGCGTGAATGGCTTCGTGCCAGCTCCAGCAGCCTTCTCAAAGGGCCAGTTCGCGTCGAGAGCAGCAGCATCATCTCAGGTGAACTACACAGCACCCATGTGTGCGTTTTCGAGAATACGGAGAGTTGATCATGAACCTGCAGAGAGACCACCCATCGCTCATGCCCGGCCTCCGTTTCCGGTAGTCGAAGAGACCAGACGGTCCTCTATGGTGACCCTCTGGTTGTCCCACCAACCGGGTTAGATTCGTACACAGCAGCGGTGTCGATCTGGTGTGTATGTTCAGGACGCTGCAGCTGACGCGACCGGCCGACTGACGCGGACTGACGAACGCACCAAGTTACCCTCCATGCCAACCCCCCCCCCCCACCTCTGCCCTTGCCATGCTAGGCACGTCGCAGTCGGGAGCGTGCGGCATGTTGCCAATGCCAGAAACAGGGTTGGATGCGAACGCCATCTTGTTGTTGTATTCAGAAGCAGCTACATGTATGTAGTCATCATGTCGTTCCTCTCCCAGAGGAAAGTGACACACACACAACTAGCTGCTGACTATTGTACATCCAGCGCATGTTTTTTTGCCCGTCGAGCAGTTGCAACAAACGGCGGTCCCATGCTAGCGAATGCATGTATTTTGCAAGGACTGGCATTATCGTTGAAGTGGGTCAGTACCCATAAGCGGGGGAGGGGAGGAGGGAGACGAGACACTCATCGTACTGGAAATGTCCTGCGCAAGTGCATCAATATAGTACTGCTGTTCATCGCTTTACAGCAGTAGTTGGGGAAATCTTAATCTTCCCTCGTCAAAGTACATACAGTACTGCTGCATGTAGCAACGAACGCTCGATCCTTTCCACACCATTTGAGAGCTGGGGCATTTTCCAGTAGGCAGTACTTTGAACGAGGTGGCTTGTAGATTGCCTAAGTTTCGTATGCCGAGACGGGATCGAGCCGAAGAGATATATCCCTCGGATGCTACTATTTTTTTACAGTATTTGGAGCACTTCTGCAAGCACGTGAACTATCTCGGCGGTAGATAACACAGCAGCGTAGTAGGTGTTGGCGTTGGGTGGAGACGAGGCAGCAACGGCCAGGTAGACACTGGTACTCGTTTGTGCAGTTTGCAGTCATCATTTCGGCACGGCTCGTACACGTAAGTGCCCCTATTGTTCATGACTATCTACCTATGTCCATCCGGTGGGAAAGTTTGTAGGTGACTGGAAGGATATCCCCATGTGAACAAACCCAACACAAACCGTGCGCCAAAGCCAGCAAAGCAAGTCCTGGGCGTATTGGATGCGTTGCCGCTGGTAGAACGCTCGTCTGATTGATATCCTCCCACAACAGTACAAGTGCAGCAGCAGTCGAGAGTCACGACGGGCCGTTCGAGGATGAGTCATATACCCTGACCAATTTCTTGGCAGTGGCCTTATTAGCAAAGGGCTGAATGTGTGCGTCGCCCATGGCGACGTCGCCATCTTCTTGGAGGGTTGATTGTGTGCACCCGGCAGCAAACTTAAGGCGCGCACCGCAGGGGGAAAGGTGGGGCACTAGAACAAACAAACGAATGAAAAAAGCCTCCTTTTGTGTGACCTATCCCTTCCTCTCGTGTGACCCTGGCTGATGCATACACCAGATGTATACGCCGAACGGCCGTAAAACTGGCGCCAGAATACATGAGAAGAACAGCACACACGCAGACTGACGTTTTTCGTTGGTCAGCCTGGTTGGCGCGGTCGGTGCCAATAGAAACAAAAACACACATACCCGGTGAGCCCTCCCTTAACAACGTTCCTCTGCTGCTGCATTTCATCCCATCGTTAGATCTCGGGCAATACTCCCCCTCTTCCCTCACATGTCAAATGTCGTCTCACAGCGCTTGCCACCGGTAGCCAGGCATGTATGCATAAGCACCCGTACCCACGTACTTCAACCACGGGGTTTGGCGCGGCCTCCACCCTTGACCAGAGGAGCTCTCAGATTTTCCCCACACCATTTCCTTGCCAGCAGCCGCCTTGCCCCCTTCCTCTTCGCTGTCTGTTTCACCTCTCAATGTGGACTTCTGCACGCGTTCCCCCCATCGTTTTGTGGTACAATGTTCGTTGGACCCCCCAGATTTTTCTACTGTGTCCTTGCCAGCACCCGTCTCTCCCCGCTCTTCTTCGCTTGCTGTTCGTCTCTCAGTGTTGACTTCTCCACGACTTCTCCACGACGCGTCCCCCCCGTTGCGTGCTTCTCGTGTGTGTTTCATCGCTCCAAGGTCGCTCGATCGTCGATCTCGCCGCGGACGGGCGTGTCGTCTGCCTCGAACCCCGGCGTTGGCGTTATGATGATGGCCGCGAAGGCGGAGGAGGCGACGAGAAGCTTCTGGGAAGGGGAGTGGGTATGTGCTGACTGCGGTTACATCTACGACATCGACGACTGCGGTGGGCTGTACCTCGAGGAACAGGTGCGTCGTCGTCGACCCCCCCCCCCCCGCGAAATTTCGACTTTAAGTCATTAGGATACATATTGGAGTGGAACTGGCCGGGGCGGTGTCGGCTGCGGTGGTGACCCTTTTCCGAGGAACAAATGTATCTCTTCCAAGTACCTTTTTTTTTCGTGACACGTGTTTATTGAGATGTATCGCCAAAAACATATTTTTCGGCGAACAGACATATTTTTGTGTATCGCTTCGAAGAACCACGACACCGCACGAGCGGGGCTGGCTGAATATTTTCATTACACCCATAAAATGGGGGGAGGGGGTGCGGCGGTAGTGTTCCAGGGGAGACAAAATGTTCTACTTTGTCCAGATGGGCGTGTCGTGGAAGGGATAGTCAGGATGTTGAGCAGTTGTTGGACGCCGCACGACCAATCGGTTTAGACATCTATACGAGTATTGTTGTAGAACGGGCAAGGCCTGGTCGTGAGGGTTCTGAAAATTACAGTATTGTTGTTCAAAGGTACACTAAAAATATGCACAATGCGCGTGGTATATATATATATGTAAGCGTTTTTGTCTCACCTCTCTTGGACGGACAAAATATGGTCGCCGAACATATTCTGGAGTTCGTCTCCTTCCACATCGGCGGGGCGAAGTTGCACCGTTAGTTGCTCATTTGTTGTTCTCTGCGAGATTTCTGAGCTGATGGTTCCGAAAAACGGTGCAAACTGTCAATGATTTTGTACATACGATTCTTCGGAACAGTGAGCTCAGCAGGAACCCCGCAAAGAACCCAGCATGCACAGTTGCCGGTGCAGCTTTGCCTCGCTCCATGCGGAAGATATCGAACTTACAAAGACGTTCGGCGACCAGTTTTTGTCCGGCCACGGGCGGTGAGATAAATGCATACAACGCGCATTGTGCACATTGTTTAAGGTGGATAGGAAGGGACGGCCAATCTAAACGGGGGAGCATGAGGTTACCGTGCTTGCGAAAATATTTCCTTGTACTATTTTGTCAATAGTTTTCCGCCACAGTTCTGCGTGACTATATTGTACGGATTGAACCTCCTGTTCGGCGGATATGCTACGAGCCGCGAGCGCTTTTGTTTAGAGTGACGCAATAGCAAAAAAACGCTGGCGGCCAGGGGGGTTTGTTTTTTTGGTGGCGATGCGCGCGTCTTCTCTCGCTTTCTCCAACGCTTGTCGGTGCTTCCGGACCACGTCTTGTAGCGAAAGAGGTAAAGTCGTCGTCGATGCCGAAGATGACCCAAGTTATGAGAAGCGAGATCATATCTTTTCACTTAAAAAAATAAAGTAGGCGTGGCTGCGGGAAACAGGAGACAATCGTTCGCGCGGTCGTGACAGTTACCCTACGCTCCTGATGAACCGCGTTCATTCGGATTGCTTTTTTGGAACGGTCCCTATTATTTACGATGATTGTTGATGGTGCGTGAGGATACGGCATGTTGTGCTGTACGTCGGGCGTCGAGGGCATCGGGGGTTGACGATGTCGTGCCCGACAATTCTCTTGTGTCCTTACACTCGACTTTGGCCCACGGGGCCATGTCGTGGGTTTCAGGTGGCGGCTGACGACTCGGTGTTGCACATCAGATCATCTAAGATCCCAAGAGGTCTCGGTTTGTGCATAGGCACGACTATGAGCACGTAGAAAGCCGCACTTTTAATGTCGATCGTTGGCCGCGTAGTGGCGCCGTGGCCTACCCCCCCATTTCACCCCCAGCAAGTCCCTTTCGAATCTCGTCTTGACCCTCCCCCCCTACCCTCCTCTATCGGCGTCCCCCCCGTTTCTTACAAAAACAGAAGCGTGGGTTCGTTTGCCCGCAGTGCCGCGGCCCCCGCCGCCGGTTCGCGAAGAAGGTCGGCAACCAGGTGGGTATCACCCAGGACGGAGGCGATGCGCCCATCTTGCTATTCTCCTTCCTCGGCCTGTGGGCTACCGTGGCGTTCGGCTACTGGTTCGCCGGGCAGTAGAAGGGCCTTCTTCACGACGGAGTGTGGATGGGTGGAAACAGGATAGCTTGATGCTGGGCGGGGGTTTGGGATTTCTTCTTGGGTGTTGTTGGGCGTTCTGGGGGGTCTCTGGTGGTGTGTGGAAATCGCACGATGCTGCCTCAGCATCGGCGAGACGGGCGTAAAGGGGGCCCCGCGTGATCCGCTAGGGGGTAGTGAGAGCCTCGTTCCGAGGGTAAGTCTAGATAGAGCAAGGGCGGGATATACCTTCTTTAGAGTGAGCAGCATCACAGGCTGTCGCGGAATGTCTTCGCAGCCAACACCAACTTTTTAATTCGTTAGCATTCTTGTAAGGCCCAGCTGCCGCGTTGGTGTGCGCTAAAGCTTCGCTGAACCAAGAGAGCGTATGATGCCAAGCTGCCGAAACTATGCGGAGCATGTTGGTGTGACAGATTAGGAGGGGATGCCGGGGGGCGGGGGGGGGTCGATGGCGCTCTCTCGAACAGTTGTCCGGTGTGTCGTCTGGAGTTTAAATTTGGGGGAATCTTCCACGCGCGGGAGAGGGACACGAAAAAGAAAAGCAACCCAGGGCACTGCGTGAGCCTGTTGCAACCCTCGGTTCCACGGCCGGTGTGTTTTGGCCCCTCATACTATTGTGTGTAGACTGACTGCTGTGTTAGGGTGTGTACGGTAGACGCTAATATCACAAATCACAAAATGATGGAGATACATTCGGGGTTTGAGTTGTCGTCACTAGAGGCCGTTTGTCATCTGTTTCTATGGGCGAGGCTATTTGATGCCACTCCACCCCCGCAACTCCGCTATTAGCGTTTACAGGGTGTCTGCCGCACACTCCTTAGAGCGAAGACGGATCTAGCTGTTGTCGGAGAAGCGTAGCAAAACCTTCTAGCCGTCCTACAATAGATACACACCTACGCCCCGACAATACCGGCTATGCCACCGTGTAGGCCCGTGTTATATCGTGCGAAAAAACATTAACCAACGAAAGGCTTCGCTCAGAGAGGCAGCCAATGGCATGACCCTGCGTACCGCGAGAACGGATTCGCGAAACATCAGAGAATCGAACAGTTGCAGGAGGCGTAGGTGAACCGCGTAGCTGCAACAACCTATCGTAGGATGGCTCGTTCTCTGGACCCATTTTTGGCTGTATCTTGCGGAGAGCGCAACACGTTTTTCTCTCAGTGGCGGCCATCATGGTCAGCACGCCTTGGAAGAGGGCAGGAGCACCGTGAGACTCACGATGCTTCAAGTTGAGTATCGTCGTGGACGAAGAGACGGAACTGACACAAGACATTAAAAGAGCGCAGTTGAGGAACACGCATCAACCCCAGGGAGGGCATACGGCAGCAGAGGATTACCTTACGTCACGTAATGCCATCAATAAAAAATGTAGCAGGTACGATCGCGTACCGCACACAGCACTAAAGAGACAAGAGGGCCACAGTTGGTGGTCAGCTTCAACAACTTGCGCCTCGTTTAACCACCTCGGTACATAAAAAACTGGGAACACCATGGGATTGACCCTTCGCCCAGATGACACTGGTGAGTGCAACGGCCGACTAGGCGGGCCCAACGGTGCTCGCTCCCGCAAACATGGCCCCGGCCACCCAAACCAGGTAGTGGCCTCCTGACCGGCGGTCATGGAAGGTCGGTGCTCCCCTCTGATTAGCGAGCGTGTTGTGTCGACACAATCTACAGCAGTCTTTCTGTCGGCCACTGCTGGGAAGGGCACCTCGGTCCAGCGAGTATCTACAATATGCATGTGTCGACAACGCCCACCGCTTTTTCGGTCGCTCCCGCCTCTGTTTCTGCCGGGGCAGGGTACGGCATAGTCTCCACGTGCTCGGTTTGCGTCCGCAACGTTGCCGCCGCCGCGGCCGCCGCCACCATCTCCGGGCTCTCCGTCACGCCCTCCGCCGACGCTCCCGTTCCCCCGGCGACTTGAAGCCGCAGCTCGGTCTCTTTGAAGGCTTCCACGTACGCATGTCGACGAAAACCCAATCTTTTTTTTCCATGAGGTATTGTAGGGGGGGGGGGTGGTACATCACCATGGTTGGTAAGCGTGGGGGTGACGTGCCGTGGTAGTTGTCGAATAGAGTCTGGACGTTGCCACCCGCGCACCGCTGCTACACAGTAGCGAGGCCATAGTCCCTCTTTCTCTCTCTCTCTCTCTCTCTCTCTCTCTCTTTCTACCCGAGTAGGTTTGGACAACGGGACGAACTCATGCGGGTCTCACACACTCCCCTGCTGGTGCACTCGGCCTCTCTAGCACACCTTTTCCTGCCTTTTCAAAAGTTTAGCACCTCTGGTGAGCACAACGAGGGTTACGACACCTGTGCCTCATGGCAACTACTGCACTTGTGTAGTACTACATGACCGTTATAATTCCTTTTCTGTCTCTCACTTCTCAAACAGTGCGCGGGACGCCACGTTTGCGTCACCAATCTTGCAGTAGAACGTCGTCGCACCAAGGTTGTCCAAGGCTGATGTGCACGCCAAAAGAGACCAACGGCAACCAAACGAAGCACACGCAAGGGCGAGACCAATTGGGGAGTCATGGGGAAGAGAGGTTGTGGAGGCCAGAAAAAGATTTCAACATGAGGACAGCAGCAGCAACACAGGCCACAACAACAAAGACAACATACACGGCAGCACCAGGAACATCGGCCAACAACAACAAGAACAGCATCCAACCGCAGCAGCAGCAGCAGCCGGAGCCGGAGCCACCGCAGCAGTCGGAGCCGCAGCAGCAGCAGCAACAACAACACAAGCCCAGAACTACAAAACCTCCACGTTATCGGTTTGGCGACACGCGGGACATTAGTGTACCGACTGGAAAATCGCACAGACCAGCCCAAAACGATTGTCGAAATATCCGAGAGGTCACACGTTTAGCAACTTGCTGACAGACGCAGCAGCGCTTACCATAGCGCATGAGCATCAGCACTGCCTCCTTGGCGAGCCCTCTTCTTCGAAGCCCCTCCTCTGCGATCATCACTTCCACCTGGTTGCGGGAGAATCGAGAAGAGTTGCCCCGCATTCGCCAAAACGTCCGAACGAAGAGGGAAAGGGTTTGGATCGACTTCTTCCATGATCACGGTTGCCATTTGGCGAAAAGCCAGTACCATGAAAGTGGGTCCTGGGTAAAAATCTTCGGCAATGCCAGCAGTAGCTATCGTGGCCAAATAGCAGGGGTCTGCGGCAAGAAGGCTCAACCCTGGGCTCTTCATGCCAAGCGTATCCCCAAGTTTTCCAGTGGGAGAAATCAAGGACTAAAAACCGCGCTTCTTGCTCTCATTGGGACAAGGCAGCCGATGCACAGCGCGATAACATCCAACCGACGAAATCATGCCCATGGATCCCATCACAGTAGCACCAAAACTGCAGGAACCGTATCTTGCAATGTCCTTCAACGCTGATCGGGCGCGGCGCCTACCTCGCTAAATGAGCGATTTGACAACTTTATTGCAACAAACCAAGCCGATTCGTACACACACACCTCGCACATGCCGGGGTCTTCGTAATCGTTGAAGAACAGATTTACGTCCCCGGCCATCACCGCGGATTCTCCGGTACCCTTTTCCTTGCCCTCTCCCCCCCCACCGCCACTGAGGGCGAGGACAATGAAGGTGCATTTCTTGGGGTCTTCTTTCCACGAGAGCTGCATGGCGTACTCTTCCTCCAGAGAGAGGGGTTCCGATGCCGTCATCTCTGCACGTGACGTTTGAAGGATCATTATACGCTGAGAGCCAGAAAATCTTGTGCAACGAGCAAAGCCTGCGTGGGATAAGAACGTGGGCGCCACACTACACGGAAATAGGCCATCATACTTTGGCTGCAGCTGTAGCAACTACGTCGCAATCAACATGATAACGGCCATGTAGTGCCTTCAATACCAGCCTGACCTTCTTCATGGCATCTTTTCACGCACAAAGTGGTCGGGCAATGGCTGATACGGCCATTTCCAGTGCATAGGTACCTCTTATCCAAGGGTCTTGCATCCAGTCATGGTAGGTAGGAACGTGCTTCCGGCGGTAGGGCACGAGCTGCACGTCCTTTCCCTTCTGCTTGGCCGCCGGAGCAACGAAATCGCGGTGGGTTTTGGACAGGTTTTCGCGTGTGCTTCAAGACATAAGTAGCAGTATTGGCGAGCCACCACATGCATGCGGCTGATGGTACACGTTGCAGCAACACAGAACAGGACACTCTGGGAAAGGAGTTCGGTAAGCCCCGTAAGGTATCGTTTCGGTATCGGATGCTCTACGCTGACGCTTGTCCTATCTGGTACCAGGTATTCGTGAACATTCTCTTGGAAAGAGCACCATTGCCATGAGCTCGCAGGGTCCCTGCCTGTAGTCCATCTACCATAATTTGTTTGCCTCTCTATCTTTCCCTCGCTCTCTGCCTCTCTCTCTCTCTCTCTCTCTCTCTCTCTCTCTCTCTCTCTCTCTCTCTTGAGACACGAACGGCATGAGTGCAACAAGTTGCTCGCTAATTTACAGTGTGCACTCGAGACCTACAGCACACTGCGAAGAGCACGCAGGTCTCTGTTCCGGCTACCAACTCTCGGTTTGCACCCTCACCAAAGCGATCTCCCAGTTGGTCAGCATGGATCTCTTGGCCTTCACCTGCGTCCCCTGTCTTGATGCTGCCCAATCTCCCGGCTGCGCAGGTGCTAAGTGTTGTCTCGTGTGCTGCGGCACGGGACTGTCGTTTCTTTGCACCGGCATATGCAAAGAGGCGTGTGCGGCGGCTTGTCTTGCAGATGGTACCGCCGTGCACCTACGATCCTACGATACTGGTACAGCAGAATATGTACTGCTTCGCATCCCCCACCCTTCCAATTTCTACCAGTCGGCGAGGGAGAGCTGTGTTGCTGGATCGAAAGGGGGTCAGCAATAATTGACACAAGGTAAGGACCAAGCGGTGCCATGACTAACGAAGGTGAGCGTCGGTGGACTGTACTGCTGTACGTTGCCGGTATCACTGACAGACTCACGGGAGGATCATATGTCGTGCAGACAGCACGAGAGGGCAAACGGCGGGCGATGCTTCGAGACGTCGATGTTGTTGATCGGGGCTGCTTGATAGAGTGTCACTCCTACTCTGCAGCAGGTTCTCACATCGTCATGCTTCTTGATTATGAAGCAACAGGTCTCGTGTCGCTGTGGTGACAGCATGTACTGCTGTACCCACCAAAACTGCAACTTCGCATCCGCACCCCTCCCCTCATATCCACGGCCGAATATCGAGTAGCGGATCTCTTATGTACTGGGCACGCGTGAGCCCCCTTGACGCCAGTCCCACGGAGGTTTTGATGCGCGATGGCCGAAAAAACTGCCAGGCAATTTTCCCTTAGGCCAGCAGGGTGCCATTTTCCAGAGTTGTTGACGGTGCGTTCGATTTCGACGGCTGCGAAGGTTCGAAACAAGACCGAACCCCACATCAACGCACCTTCACACTTCGCGAGATGGAAAAAACCGCAACGCACCTCACCGTGGGGATTCACAAGACACCGTAGATGCGGCTTTATCACAGTGCGGATTGTCTTACAGTACTCTGTCGCCGAAACCGCGGAAAAAAGCGCAGCAAAGTCACCGCGCGTTTCCATGCAGACGTACACCAAGAGTACAATTTTTCACCGACGCAAACGGAAGGAACATCGTGTCCCCACACCGCGCACGATACCGCCTCGGCCGCTACACCCCCTGTGCCCAAGTTCGCCCTATCTCTGACAGAGTCGAACCCCGAAGCTGGCGACCAACCTCATGCTGGGGGTCGCCGCACATCCACTTCCTCTTTCTCCCGGTGGCGCACTACCGCTCATCTAACTCTGACTGGATGTAGACACGCCGATCAAGGGCCGCTGTTGGTCGCGTAGGGTATGGTTTGGTCTTGTTACAAACGAATTGAGTTACCATCTTGTTTCTCCCCGCCTCTGAATTCGCCCTGGTTGCAAAGCAAACATCAAACATCAAAACCATCAAGCGCGCCATTTTGTTTTTCTCAATTCGCCCACATTTCTCCTGCCCATTCCCTTGACAGAGCGCGACCCTGGACGCCTTAATCGTGGCATCGAGTCAAGCATGCGTTGAAGGAGAGCACCTTTGGAACGCATCTAATCTCGAGCTACATCTCGTGTCGCTGGAGTTTTGCCGAGTGTGCAGAAGTATCCCGACCTTGCACGTTCGCGTCATCCAGGAAACGTCCGGTAGCTTGTGGCATTTTGGAAGTCAAACACCACGCCGAACAACCATACTGTGGAGGCTCGAATCTCGGGTCGCGTGCCGGCAGTGCCGGCTTTTGGTTGGACGTGGACACTTCCGATGGAGGTTCTGCTGCAGAGTTGAGCCATTGAGCTGCTGTCGAGCTATGAGCTGCAGCTCGCGGAAACTTCGTCTGCAGGTAGCCTAGTATCGGCGTTTTGGCCTCAAGGGCTCCAATGGTTGGTGTTTGATTTGGATGCTGCTGTGGATATGGTGTCGTGGCCGGCGTCCCTACGAACTTTACGGTTGGGACATTCGTTCAACCAATCCATTACCGGAGTCGCATGGCCGGCCTCTCTGCAGGAGCTGTTCTTTGGGAATGATTTCAACCAGCCAATTGCCGAAGTCATGTGGCCGGGCTCACTGCAAAATCTATGGTTGGGGGCGCGCTTTACCCAATCCATCGTCGGAGTTGAGTGGCCGGGCTCCCTGCAAGAGCTATGGGTTGGGGATCGTTTCGATCAGCCCATAGTCGGGGTTGTATGGCCGGGCTCGCTGCAGAAACTGGGGTTTGGGCAAACCTTCAACCAACCCATTGTAGGAGTCTTGTGGCCGGTCTCGCACCAGAACCTATTTTTCGGCGATAGCTTCAACCATCCAATCTCTGCAGTCGAGTCGCCAGTCTCCCTGCAAGAGCTGTGGGTTGGGGATCGTTTCAACCAGCACATTCTCGGAGTCGTATGGCCGGGCTCGCTGCAAAAACTACGGTTCGGACATTCGTTCAACCAACCCATTTTAGTATCCTTGTGGCCGGTCTCGCTAGAGAACGTGTGTTCCGGGGATAACTTCAACCATCCAACCTCTGGAGTCGAGTGGCCGGTCTCCCTGCAGGAGCTATCGTTTGGGAGGCACTTCGACCAGGCGGAGTGAAGTGGCCAACTTCCCTGTACAGCGTGACCCGCGACGGAATCAGTCTCCTGTGACATGTTGGCGAGATACGCGTTCGGCTGTACGTACATGGTTCGTTCAATACGATACGTGTTTTGGGCCCCGTGCTGAAGCTCCACAATTGCCCAGGGTACACGGTATTCAGCAGTGGAGGTGAATTTGTAAGTCAAACAATCATAGAGGAAAATACAAGGGGTGCGAGGGATATCGTGTTGAACTTCATGTCGATTGCGGTGGTTCAACTCTAGCTTATGCTGAGGATACGCCCAAGTACTCCTCAACAGTGGGCTCTACTGTCAAAAGGTTTGGAACGTTGTTGTTGCTCTCCTCTGCTCTCTGTTTGCAGATGATGTAGGAAGGTTTGGTGTTTCTTGGCGAATGTTCGGACTTGCCCTGATTTTGTGCCCCTCTTTCGTAGCGTATCTTCGTTCTCTTCGTTAAGACCACCGAAATTGATTTCTTTGCCTAGATTTATAGGAGTAAAGCCATTGGATTTGGTCAGATGACTTGCTTCACGACACGATAAACAATGTTGCCGCCCCGCGCTGTTGGCCAGGAAGCTTACAGCGATCGGCGGTGTCGAGCTGTCAACCCCGTGACATCAATCATTAAAATTCACAGCGGTATTTGGCATATTGAGCGTGGAGTCCAGCGGTGGAAACGTCGCGGAGCACGTCTGGTGTAGCCCTTTGTGCGGGTAAGGTACGGTGAGGGTTAGTTGAGTAGCACATTGTCAAAAACCGATACCCTCAGAACAAGCGCGTGGTCCGGATGCCGGAACGCAGGCAAAATTCGCTGTAACGCCTTTCATTTCTGGTCATTTACGCATTGAACGGGGGACGGGTTGCATTGCGCTAGACTACTGGTGTGTGGAGCAGCCACAGGTGAATTTAGTATTACCTCGTGGCGTCATGTGTTGGTTTGATGAGAGATACAACTCACCTGGGAGATGGCCGAGTCGCAAGCGCGAATATACTAGTAGTTATGACCTCACGGGCTGTTGTATGTCGTGTATTTGTATGTTCGGTGTTGTTGTCCAGGTGGCGCTGTCTTTTTGGTGTCGACATAGACAGAACCGTGTGGCCGGCGCCCCTTCAAACGGTGATGCGTGCTGGGGGTCTCTATGCTGTAACAGCGTAAGCAACATTGTGTTTGTTTCCAAGGTCGGGTCGCTATCTGTGAAAGACGTCAAGCCAGGTGATGGCTGGAAATCAACCGCGGTATTCCTGATTACTGTATGAGGAACCACACGAAGACTCGCCAAGCCATGTACTGCAACTCGAGGGTTAATGATGTAAGCGAATGCGCGTGAGTAAGAATGCGATGGCGTGACCAGTGTAATTGTGTCAGCGAGGGGGTTGCATTTGGCCTGAGGGGGGGGGCAAATACTCACTCTTCCCGCCTGGCGATCGATTTTGACTTCTGAGCCCCCTGGCTGTGCAAGAAGCAGAAAAATACATAACTTCCCTCACAGAGATCGACCTTGCGTTTGAGTGCTGTTTTTATTTGGCTAGAAAAGTATTGGGTACCACACACACGTCATTGATGACTGGGAGAACAATGAACACTGAGGGAGAACTCGAACGAGGGGCTTTGCCAAGACAGGAGATATTTTCTACTGGCGAAAAGGAGGATTATGGTGGCTAGGAAGAGAAGGACAATTAATTCTGTAGTGTAGAGAGAGCAGGGAATGGAAGAGGCGACACGAATGACGACACGAACGAACGATGAAAATATGGCATAGACGAGAGCAAAATGTTCGACCCAGCTGATCTTCCATTCAACCAGCAAGGGCCGGGGAATCAAAGAACTGCCCAAAGGCAGTGTGAGTGTAGAATTACTAGGGAAAGAGAGTCGTAATCACGAGGGTGGGAGGGAGTCAGTAACAAACAAGTCGAGTAGAGAGTGGCAGCCTCGGTATAGACACGTGCATTTCCTCTTCATCTGCAACCTACCGCCGTTTCTTCTGTCTTGGAATCCGAAGAGCAACGCCAAAGTAGCCCACGATGCCCCCTCACGGGGTGCCAGACCATGGTCTTCGGAAAGTTTTGTGTCTTCAGCCGCAGTGAGACTCCCGCCGTTTGATTAGTCAGCCGGGTAGCACGGCCGACGCTAGTACGCCCGCACTGAAGGACTTACTTGGCAGATACTTTATGCTGAGAATGAATGAGTCATGAGAACGTGCACCCCATGTGTGAGCCCGGTTAAGAACCCCTAGAATAAGACGAATACTTTGCGGCCATTTGCAGCCAACATCAGGAACCCAAATTCTCGGCCGAATCTAATGAACTAATGGTCGCTATCTGTAATATATAGTCTAGTGACTGGCGTATTTGGAGTTGTCAGCCGGCGCGGTTCGATGTTGCTAATAATAGCCACACTGCGAGGCTGCGTGCATTCAACGCCGAGTTGGCCCGTCGGCCGTGCCGTTTTCCCGATAGATACATACCTTCGTACAAGTTCAGGGGGCTGGGGGCTGGGGAGCTCGAGATTTACAGTCAATCATGTTATCTATATAGGTCGTCATGACGTGATACATTTCTTGTTATGAGTATGGAAAAAAAAAAAATGGCTCGATTTTTGTATTTCTACAGCAGTATGGACCAGACGCCGACTGTACATAGAAGTCGTACGAGTGTCGACTTAGTTGTGCTGTCGCAGCATCTTCCACGCACTTCTGCCAGTGCTGGTTTGTTGGTTGGAGTCTTGTAGGTCGAGATACAGCAGTGGGATTCTCGGGTTGTGGAGGCAAAAGTGAACCAGAGCAAAAAATTGCATGCATAGCTCGATTACTGCAGTATCCGGCTCAACTTTTTTTTTTTGCGGCATTTGTTTGCATATTTCTTTGCCACTGCCGAAAAAGACCGCTGGATCTTTAACCAGTCCATCTTTCGCAATTATTGATCGTTTGGCACCGAACGACGCAGGACGGGTCGACCTTCATCATTGTTGTTGTTGTTGTGGTCTTCAGATAAAAACCGTTCCGATCTCTCTCTACACTGTACCTTCATATGTCTGTACTGATCCAACACTTGACGTGGTCGATTCCCCCCGTGGTCACAGGCTAACTTACCCTAAAAAGGTACGCTCAAACAAACTGGCCCCAAGGGGTCCGCAAGTCAATAGAAATCAATGACATATATTCTGGAGTCCTCTGCTTCCTCTGCGCGCTATGCGAGGTAACAACTGAGACTAGGAGTCAGCATTACGGGCCAGAGAGAAAGAGGTACACCCCCTTAGTCCAATCTTTGTGCTCTGTTGTAATGAATGGTATTTGACCCCTTCCTTCAGAATCAGTCACCTTTGAGCTGTGTGGAACTCTCTTGTCCGACCACAGTAGCAGGTTGTTGTTGCTTTCCGTTGTTCTCTTTCTCTTGATTAACGCTTTCCAAGCCAACTCACAATATCCCACGCACACACGATCAGGGATCGTCTGTACGCACACACTGGACAGAAGGGCACATGTATGTCTCGGCATAAAGCGCTGATCTATAGCATGACGTCACGTGTTAGCATCCGACGGCGCCAAATAATCATGATCAACCACGATCGATCACAGGTAGAAATACCATAACAGCTTTACACGCAAGCAGCGAGACAAGGCCATCTGATCAGAAAAAGAGAGAAAAAAGAGCGACAAAGAGAAAAAAGAGAAAAAGAGAAAAACATAAAAGGAAACAGGAAGAAAAGAGAAAATATGTTACGAGGCTACTGTATGACTTTTCTTTTTTTGTATGCACTTTTCTTCTTGTGAACTTTGACGTTGCGCTTGCCATCGTCGCTTCAGTGTTTGTTTGTGTCTTCAAACCTTCTCAGACGGCCTTCAAACGTCTTGTTGATAAGTTTCCGTGGTAACTTCTCCGCGCATGAGTCATATATATGCAGTTATGACCTGCGCTTTGACTTTTACGATGGGTATTTTACCTCCCCGTCTTGCATTGACGGTGAGTACCTGCGTTATACGGAAGGATCGTTCCACGACGTAAACGTCGACGTCTCCGTTTTCTTTTTGTTCCCTTCGCACTCCTTCCTTGCGGCGGTTTTCACACCGACTTCGAACGTGGGGTGCAATTTCCCCTCTTCGTACCTTCCTCGTCGGCCTTCTCCATCGTTATGTACATAATGTATACCTCGATTTTTCGGCTTTTCGATTCCGATAGGCAAGACTACGGACTGACATGTATGTCCCTTTCGCCCCCGACGGGACCGCGCGCTCGTCGAGGGCCGAAATTCTTCACCACTTCCTTGCCTCTCCCAAAACCGTCCCTTATTCCCGCCCCTAAAATTCTTCTTCTTTCCTTCCTCCCGGACACTCACCACCATCCGTCCTGGATGTTGGCCGCAGCCCCATTGGGGGGCGGGGGGCCAATCCTTAACCCAGGTTGAGCATATCTACAGTAATCGAATATATCGGTGGAACCTCCCCCTTGTAAAATTGATGGTTGCGCCCGGTCACAGACCATCTGTGAGAAATGTCTCGACACGGGTACCTACTATTATCTCGAACAGGCAGGCTTCCTTAAAGGTTTACATAGACTAGTCTACGGGGAAGAAGTTCCTTCTGTTGCTATTTGCCGTGCGCATTCTTTCCTGCGTGTGGTTGTGTGCGTTGTGAAATGAACCTGTAACGGCTGGAGAGACGAACCGCAACCTCGACGTCTTACCTCCTGTCACTTGATGTCGACACCTGCGTCGCCCCGCAGGGCCTACCTGACTGGAAAGGCGGCACAGCTCATAGCCTCATCGAGGAAAGCGTCAGGACAGAAAGTGTTACCCAGAGTCAATCGCTCTAGGTAATCACCCAATTTTCCGAGCAGCTCGGAAGTCCTTCTTACGACAAGGACATCGTCCTCTACTCGCTACCGTGCTTGTTGTCTCCAACGATCTCTGCATTGCCGTACTCCGGGTTCTGTTGTCGCGGTGGGGTCCACAAACCCACGTGCCTCACACCGAGGTTCCGCGCAGTCACACGGTGTGTGCGGACAAAATGAAGACATCGATGGCGTGGCAAGACTTTCGGCGCTCAAACCAGGCTGCCACGGGTGTGTCATCACAGGTGTGCAACGGTTCGCTTTTTTTGTGTGTGTTCATGTCTCTCTCTTCGCGTCCGGAAGTCCGTCTAACATCTATCTATCGGAGGTCACGTACGGTGTCGTTGTTCCGCTTTGCGTCACATGGACCACAGCACAAACCTCGGTCCGCGCATGACTATGACCCTTGGGCAGGATGGCGATGACTCTGCTGGAGCAGAAGGGGACGGATTCGCGGGTATTACATCGCATGAGCCAGAGGTGAAACCCGCCAAGAGAGTGCCTCGCTTGACTCACCTAGCCCGTGAAATGCTCAGCAGCATCCAATCGAAGTAGAACCTATCCTGTTCAAACCAGCAGGTAGTATAAAAGGCACTTGTGTGTTACATGTACGTGCTGTAGAGACTATCTTGGGCAGAGGAACGCATACTGTACACTTGGACTACTGTAGACCGAACGATCACATAAAACTGACGGTACGTCCCAACGTTTGCCTTGGCGCGTTCCTGCCCAGGACATGATAGTGGAACTTATGGATAAGTCCTTCCATGCGGGTGAAGCGCTGGCGGAGAGAGAGCACGACGTCAGGCAGCTCAGCAAACAGGTGCCTGTAGGTTTTCTGAGTCGAGCCTGCTTCTGTCCGTTGGCCCCATATCTCTCCGCTACAACACCCAATCGTTAGTTTGAAAAAAACACACACGAAACACGATCTACACGAAGCCGGGCAAACGATCGCTTTCACTCTTTGTCAGGGTCAGGGACGACACCCGACAGCGAAAAGTCGAAGAAATTGCTTGTACATATCAGTTGTACTCAAAGAGTAGATGAAAAGGTTGCGGGACTCTTGCGTCCATGCCCGCACAGGATGCGATGACAAGCAGCTCAGCAAAGAGGATGCGATGGGCCGTTGCTGCTTCAGCGAGTCGGCCCAATCCCTCTGCGATTCATTTACCTCTGCGATTCGTTCACCCTTGTTCCGCCGGAATAAGAAGCATAGTTGAAAATCAGTGGGAAATGATTGCATTCCCTTGTGTCCTTGAGAACGGTCAAAATATGCGCTACAAGTAAAAAATCTGCAAGTGCAGCACTCTACAACTGGAATACCGCGACACCATGTGATGTTCCTGCCTTTCTTCAAAAGGAAGATGTCCTCCGAATGTAAGCCGAACGTGCCGAAGGCGCCCATTCATGGCCCTCCCGACCGTCTTTCCTTCGTGCTCTCTGGTCTGTTGGGAGAAGGTGAAGGCGGCAAAGTCAGACGACTAGAAAGTTGAGACCGAGGTCGCCTGCCGTACAACGTCGAATGAAAAACTTGCTGACGATGAGGGCCGTTGGTACTCGATGGCCAGGTCACTACAGAACAGAATGCAAGCCATCAAGAAGGTGAACTCAACTTGTTCACCTT